CACAAAAGGAAATGTATGGGCAGTGAGACCTGGATTCAAATTCCATCTCTGCTATTTATTGACTGTGTGATCTTGGGCCAATCACTTACCTTTCATGGCTGTTTTGCAGATTCAATAGGATGCCGTAAGTGAGCTCCAGGCACATAAAAGTGCTCAATCAAAGGTAGTTGCTGCTGTGGTTTTGGCTGGTTTTGTTGTTGTTACTACTAAAGTGGTAATGACTAATGCCGGGAGACATCAATAAAGGGGAAAAAAAAAACAAATTAAAAACACTCTATTTTGTATTAGGCAAATCAGTCCTACTTTTATTACTTAGAATTTAATTTACAGGTGTTTGTATTTGCAATTAGCTTGGCAATAGTAGTGCTCATTCATGACAACCAGGTGAGGATGGTTAACATTATTATTCCCATTTTCTAGATGAGGAAAAGGCAACGTTTTCCATCTATCCTGTCTCCAGTGTCTATGATCCGTTGATTAAAGGCACCTGCAAGCATGTTCATTAGTTCCCTATGAAAAATGATATCCAACACCAGGTGTTAAATGCAGGAAAGGAGAATTAACAAGCACTTGATAGCAGCCCCCAAATAACATCTAAACAATCACTTCTGAACATCAAAGTCATGGCAAACAAGTTCCAATTTAAATAAAGGTGTTGGAGAGGATTAAGGAAAAATGAATAAATACATTTTCTTTATCTGCATTCATTTAGGAAATATCTGACGTAGCTTAGCAATGTTTTTTGAAATGCAGAGACTGAAGAATCGTTAATTTCCTCTATGAAGAGCCTTCAATTAGCAGGTTGGATTAGACTAATGTGTTCTGATACTTTATCTTTAATCAGAGCGACAAAGTAAGAGAAATTTAAAATGGAAAGACCCGGTTCAGAGTTTCTCAACAAAGTTCACCAGGAAGCCTGTGTATTCCATGTAAGGGGCTCGCCACTCCAAACACACACCCCACACTGACTGATGGCTTGCTCATGTGTCTCTTGTCCCATGTACAGAATTTCCATGAACAAAATAAAAATGCCTCTAAAGGTACTAATCAATGTACAGTCACCATATAGAAGCAATACTACCTGGGGTGGGGGCCTCAATTGCTATTGCTGTTAAAAGGAGGCTACATATTCAAAAGCAGAGACAACACTGATGCAATTCAAATCTCTCTCATTACTGATGCGGTAAAGATCTTAGTGATAGCTGAGATTCTGACCTAGGTTTTCCCATGCCCTGATAAATGACCATTATCTCACATACACACCTTCCAGTGTGGTCACAGATTCATGGGACGTTAGCAGTCATGGCTATGTTCTCTCTAATACCATTTCCTCTTGCTAAAGGAGAGCATAATCCTTCCCTTTCTCTGTGGATATGTTCCCAGAATTGTCTAAATCTCTTGAGCCTCTCCTGGGCCTCTCCTTTCCCCTTCCTTGCCTCTCAACCTCAACTCCCAAGTCTGGATGCGCAACACACTCAACCCATCAAGCTCTTATGCTCCAGAAGTGCCGATGGGGATTTAGTCTCAATATGAATTGGAAATACAGTCACCAAGGAATCTGCAAAGTATGTATAAAACCTGTGTATATGTGAGTGTATTTTACAGCTAAAACCCCAGTGTTCTAATATCTATGGAAAATAAGTGAAATATTCATGAATAATCGTTTTATTTACTCTGGATCTGTCAACACAAATAGGCTATTAAAGAAAACTCTAGCACACCAACTTTTCAAAATGCCTTCATGTGTTCGGTTTCAGTTTATTATCCTGATGACTCATTTGGATGTAAGTGCTACTGAAGTGCCACTGGAACCTAAACGCCATGAAGAGAAGAAAAGTCATCGCTTTTATCCACTGCTCTTTCTCCAGTGCCTAGGACAGTGCCTGGCACACGGTGGGCATCCAAGGAACACTGTTGATTATGTAAGTGACAGAAGTAGACAGGGATGGTAGTTGTATTTCTTGTCTTCAAGTTTTGAGAAGATGAAATGAGTTCCTAATAACCTCTTCTCACTCTTCAGTCCTCCTATAACCTTTGACTTAACATTGTTCCCTCAAATAGTTTTAATGAGATTTTTCAAAGTTATATATACAAATAATATATTCATTTTAGGAAAATCAGATACTACTAACCCATAAAGAAGAGAAAATAAATGTTCACCATGACCCCAGCACCCCAGGACAACACAACCTGTTCATGTATCGCTTTCAGACTTTATTCCACACACACATGCACACACATACTCTTGAATATTCCCAAAAGGCTCCGCCCTCAACTTTTGCAATTTGGACTTTCCCCCCTTTTTTCTAAGCTCTTTTCATTGTTGTGTTATTGTTGTTGTTGCAGCCCCTTGCCCTCCTCCTATGTTTGAAATCGATTCCTTGCTCAATATTTAGGTCCTTACTTCACAAAGATTCTCTAGAGGATCGGTCTGTTTTTACGGCAACTTTAAGCTCTAGCTGGGTGTTTTCTACCTGCATCTTCAGCCCTCCCTCTTTTCCGGGATACCAGAGTTTGTTCCTTGAGCTCTATGCTTCTAAAACTCAATGCCTCACATTCCCTCCAAAACCACTAATGACTTATTGATCCCGTGTCTGTCAACTGTAACAATTATAGAAGCCATCTTTGCTTCCCCAGCCCCACAATCACCAAATCATTTCCCATCATTCCTTGCCATTCTCTCATCTTTTCTTATTGCCGTCCTTAGTGTTTAGGGCCTTACACGTACATTAATACTACCTTCACCAGTTCCATCTTGCTCTTCCTCTATTCAGAAATCTGTGGCTGAAATCCCTCTTTCAGCATGGGATTCTAGGCCCTTCATGATCTCACCTAAGACTACTTTTTCATCCTTATTTATCATTATTCCTGAAAACAAACACATTGCTCAAGCCAGGTTGGTGTACTCATTATTCATTCAACTACAAAAACATTTGATTTTGAGTTAAGTATTTGTCAACTATTTAATATGTATAAAACTCATTTATTCATTCAACGAATAGTTATTGAGCATCTCTCTACTCTGTCAGGTAATGTACTGATGCTAAGTATACCACAGTGAACAAGGTAGACCAAGTGCCTGTTCCCATGGAACTGGACAGTACAGAGGGTTACAGGGAGACTCTGAGAAACTGTGATCCCAGCCCAGGATAATTTCAGTCTTCCATTAAAATGTCAGATGAATCAAGACATCCCTAAGGGCTGATGTGACCCAGGCTATAAGTGGGAAAGAATTTCAGAAAGGAAGCACTGGTGGAGAGAGCTGGATTGTGGAGTGTGGCTTCTCTGAAGATGTGAGAACAACGCTGGCAGGCAAGGACGTAGATAAAAAACCAGGTGCCTTTCCCTCAGGGGGATAGGAGGAAAGGCACAACCGTGGAATGGTGAGAAAAGCAACAGCGTCATCTTATTTTGTATAAAGGTTCATTCAACACCTATTCAGCAGAGAGAACACTCTGCCCCTACACTGCCTCCTCAGCTCTACAATAAATAGGAACATGACTCAGACTTAGCTTGGACCACTTCTATCTAGCCAGAAGGGTAAGGCAGGCCTACGATGATCTATCACAAACACTGTGAGACATTCCAGAGATCCAGAAAAAAAAAACAGAGGAAGCTCAGAAGAAGGTCCATGTCCGGGTTTACATAACAGTACTTTCATATGTTTGTTTTCGAATTCCTGGGCTCGAGTCATCCTCCTGCCTCAGCCTCCCAACTAGCTGGGACTACAGACACATCCCACCACACTTTTTTTGGGGGGGGGGGGTAAAGATATAAGTATCTATAAGTGTTTTTTATAATTCTTTATATGTTAGCATGTGTTTAATAGTACTTCACATATTTTATACATTTACAGCCATACGTGCATCTATTGAAAGTGCTTTCTCACGTTCTCATTTTATTCTAAGTGACTTGTGAAGCAGGCGGAATTGGCACGGTTATGTTTTCCAGAGAAGTATAGCGCAGCACAGATCTTTTGATCAGCTTTGGTCAGGGACATAAATAGGCAAGAGCAGAACAAGAACATCCTGTCCATCTCGGCCCATTCCTACAGCAGCGGAAATATCTAGAGCAGAGGGCACACATTAAGAAATTCTAAAATTGCATACACCTCGCTGGTGTAATGAGGCCAGGCAGGCACTCTGGACTTAGAATGGCAGAATGTAGGCAGCATTCTCAAAGGGGGATGTAAGCCAAGGACATCCATCTCCGCATCATCCTCCACCCTTAGGCCTGTCCAAATGATACCATCCCTTAAGGCTCACTCCAATTTTTTATGCCCACAACGGTTTTTCCTTTCATTGATTTCACCCCCCACTAACATCCCAGGCAAGGAGGGCACGCAGCCATTTCCCTCCTGGACATCACAGTGTACCTACTCTGCTAAGCTCAGAGCAGGTAGTTAACAAACATTGGCTGAAGGAATTCCTGGGACCTCCAAAGCTCAGTAAGGATACCCTGAGTTCCTACGTTCCTCCCCCATCAGAGTGGGCCCGCCTGGCACGGGCCGCCCTCGCATCCCACAGGAGCTCACGAACTGCAAAGAACTGGGGGCGGGAGGAGGAGAGTCGGGGCAAGAGGGATGGCCAGAAGGCCGGAGTCCTGGGGTCATGGAGACTGCGGAGCGTCCCCGGCTGGAAGGCAGGGAGCTAAAGCTTCCACGCCTCCGCAAAAGGCATTTGCAGGAGATCGCTAACTACTTTCCCATCTGGAGAATCATCGCAGGAAAGTGGTGGGGGGCGGGGGGGAAGGAGAGATAGGGCGAGTCTTGGGAGTGTGGGAGCCCAACCCTGGGGCCTAACGCCGAGGGGAGAGGGGAGAGGGAGGCGGGAGCAAAAGCCATTCGTAGTTGAGGGAACAGGGAGCAGCACTTGCCTCAGAAAGAACCTAGGGCTGGAACTCGCGAGATCTGGGGTCGCGATCTCGTTGCGTTGCCTAGCGACAGAGAGGACGCTCGCGGGCCCCCAGGCTAAACCCCACTGTAGCCTTAAATCTCCTACCATGGGGGAAGAAGGCGGCGGCCGCAGAAGTGGGACCACTAGGGAGCGGCAGGAGCTGAAGCAGCAGGCGATGGAGTACTACCGAGAGAACGACGTTCCCCGCAGGCTGGAAGAGCTGCTCAACTCCACCTTCTACCTCCAGCCTGCCGACGTCTACGGGCACCTGGTAGGGACCTGGGACCAGCCCCCTCCTCCCTCCAGCTCCTCTGCCCCCGCCCCGCGCTGCGGCAACGCAGTGCGCCTGCGCCGCAGAGTCGCGCGTGCGCGCTGCCGGCGTGGGCCACGGGCCTGGTTGTTCCGAGGGGCAATTTCTCCAAGAAGTGTAGAGAGAATCTTGGGGGAGAAGGAATCTCAAGGGAAGAAGCGGTGGAAAGGAAGTAGCTAGAGGAAAGAGGGCTCCAGGCGGATTTAGAGCTGTGGCAGAAGCTCAGGACCTGGCAGGCTTCCTAGCTAAAGGTTTCACTGCCCTTTAAACACAGACCTTGATAGCTTTCCAGCCTTCATCAGCCCCCTTTGACCCTGGGATGAATGCCTTGGAATTTTCCACAACCAGGCCTTAGCCTGCCCTGGGCCCTCCTCTGACTAGCTCCTCCTAAGTTCATGTTTCTTTCTGGTTTCACACCCACGCTGCTCAGCTTAGCCACCCTCAGCCTGGATGCCTGCCCTCACCTGAGCAGCCCTTCCTTGAACTTCAAGTTCAGACCAAAGTCTTGCCATTGCACCCTGGATTAACCGTCCTGTGTTCCTATAGCATTTCCTCCGTTCATTGTGATCCTTTGAGGCAGCCTCCCGATGGAGCTTGTTGAGCTTCTGTTGAGGACAGGAGACTTCTTAATACCTGAGTCCCTGTGCCCAGTTCTGAAAACTGGCATGTACCATGGCCCTAGGCAATGAGCGGTTGAAACAAAGGTGAGTTTTCTGCTTCCAGATCCTTAAGTACTAAGCTACACTGACCCCAGTGAAATTGGACTAGTAGGGAAGGCACACAGCGGGTGTGACCGCACCAAGCAGAGGGGCAAGTGCTGTAAGGGTTCGAACCGCATCTTGTCGCGGTGGTTGATACAGATGCTACAGGAAGTTTTTTCCTTTCGGTCATGGCCCATCAAAGGTGCAGGGCGTGATGTTTTATCCTTAGGACCACTGTGGGGTAAAAATTATGATTCCCATTTTACAGACACCCGTGGCCCAGTGACATTTAAATGATTTTCTCAAGGCACTAACAGAAGAAAAAAATCAAACCAGGGTTGTATCCCTGAAACGTGCATGGTACCTAGTGGACTCTCAGGAACTATTTGTGGGATGAATCAATGAAGCTTCACTCTGACTTCATTCTCTTTCTACTATCTCTTGCTAGAGGAATTCTTAGATGCTATCTAGTCTAAAGTCCTCATTTTACAACGACACTAAACCCTTGTATCACAACTACTTGGTGCACAAGCTACAACTAAAAGGTAATATTCTTCCCAATCTGTTGGGTAGCCAGGACATTAATTTGTACAGCTCTCTGAGAGCTTATACCGTAGTTAGGGGGAAAAGCCACTGAAATAACTGAAGCAAGAGATAAAGTGGTATAGATTGTGCATTAGACTAAGGGAATTCCTAGTAAAGGAACTCAGGGAAGGAGGAGATCCCTGCAGGCTGTAGTATCCAGGAAAGTTTTGGCTTGATCTTTGAAGCATGTCCAGAAATTGCATTAGCCAAAAGGCAGCCTCCTTTTCATTTTCTACATCATTGCCCTGGTTTTGGCCATCCTGTTCTTACCTGGTCTCTTCCTCTGTTGAGTCCATCCTGCGAAGTGCTGCTCTAGCAATGCTCCTAATACTCAAGACTGACCATAACTCTCTTCCTCAGAAACCTGCGGTGACTGATCCTGGTTTGCTGGCCTTCATATATGTGATTTGTAGTGCTCACAGCCCTACCTCTGGTGACAGGCTCATCTCCCACTCCCTGCCCTGTTCCTCCACACTGGATCACTGACTACACCCTAAAGCAGGTATCCTCAAACTACGGCCTGCGGGCCACATGTGGCCCACCGAGGACATTTATCTGGCCCACCAGGTGTTTTTGCCACTGCTGCCTGTCCTGCTTAGCAGCCAACTCATCCTGGGGCCTGCAATCCAGCCCTCCAACAGTCTGAGGGACAGTGAACTGGCCCCCTGTTTATAAAGTTTGAGAACCCCTTCCCTAAAGCATGAAGTTTCCCATTTCCTTCCCTTATGCTATTCCCTCCACCTGAGGTATCTGCTTTCTACTTCCCCACCTTTATCTGCCTGTTGAAATACTACACCTCCTCTGGTGTTCAGTTCAAATGCCGTTTCTTCTTCATAACATAATAGAGGAATTCAGGCAAGGGGAAGATCCTTGTAGGAAATAATAATACTATTTATTCCTTCATCTTAACACACTATTGAAAGAGTTTTGTATTGCAAATCAGGCAGATCTGGGTTTGGTTCTTAACTCTTCTACTTAACTAGCTATCCTCCAGTGAACCACACCTCCAATGTGAACACTCTTACATAAGTCCTTCCCTCCCATGTCAACTCTGAACCTGGCCATGTAACTTCCTTTGATCAATAGGACCTTGGCAAGCATGATACAAACAGACCCTTGATGAGTGCTGGCACATTGAGGCTTGTCCTCCTGGTAGCTAGTCATCATGCTGTGAGGATGTCTCAGTTATCCTGGTGGAGAGAGGTCATGTAGAGAGATATGAGGCCTCTGGGATATCCTATGAGAATGACAGATGCCCAGCCAGCCCAGTTGAGGCACTGGACATAGAGGTGAAGACATGTTGGGTGTTCTGGCCCTGGTCCAGCCTCCAGATGACTATATGAGCATACGAGATCCCAAGCAAGACCAGCAAAAGAATTTCCCAATTGAGTGCAGCCCATACGACAGAGTCATGAGCAAGTTAACGGTTTAGCCCACTAAATTTGGGAGTGATCTGTTACAAAGCAGTAGATCATTTAAAAATGGGCTATATGATCTTGGACAGTTAATTTCTCTAGAATTCAGTTTATCTGTGGAGTAGAGATATCTCCTACCTTAGAGGGTTGTGTTGGGAATTTAATGGTAAGCGCTTACAAATGTTAGTTCCCTTCCCTTCCTAACACAGTATGTTTCACATGGTAGGTGTTTGGTGCATGTTAAATTGAACTCATTATGACACACAAAGTATAAGCTAAATAACATTTCTCCTCTCCTCATCCTATCTAAATTCATTTAGGCGCTTACTTTGTAATATACAAATCACCATGCTTAAAATGCACAGATGGCTTTTGAAAATTGGCTTTTGCTTTGGTTCTGCTGAGGCCTCACCTCTGAGCTAGCACATTGCTGTGCATTTTAGATAACCCGTTGTCTAAGTTGAAGTCACTAGATTTTGAACTGAAAGATTAGAGACCTGGTCTGTTAAACGAAGACAAGGATCCCAGTGCTATTGGATAATAAGAGCAGGAGGAGGGTATACCTTCACTTTCCCTCCTCCCAGGCTCTCCTAGCTCCCACTCCTCTGCACAGAAATATCAGGCAGGCTCCTTCAGTGGCTTCCTACCCCAGCTTCATTCTCTTTCTTCAGCCTCTTTCTTGGATTATTTCCAAATGGCTTCTTCTTTTCCATATCAGTGAAACTGCTATTACTGAGGTTCCCAACAAGCCTCTTTGAAGAGAGAGGACTGTGCATGAGCTGATGGTGTGTGAGACACAGCCACTGCATAAGTCTTCACCATTAGAATATCTGATGCCTTCCTGGGAGGAATAAAAATCAGACCAATCAGACCACTTTATCTTAAATTTGAATGCATCCCAGAGTTGTGGAGACCAATTGAATTCTGCATCTTGAAAAGAGGGATATTTTAGGGAATTGGGTTGACTATAAGGCCTCCTAAACAGTGACACAGGGCCTTTAAATTAAGAAATATATAAAAGTTTCTCTTGAGAATTCAAAAGACTACAGATTTCCCCATGTACCAGAGACTTGGCATTAGCCTGAATTCAACTCTTCAGTATGTGAGGGGAGGAGAGTTCCATACAGCTACTAGTCTAATCCCAGCACCAGGAAGGCTACTCATGGATAGGCTTAGTAGAAACTAGAGTAACTGAATAACCTTTTGATGGTAAATTAGATGTGTTTTAATGATTTTTGTTTTTGTGTATATGTGTGTGTGTGTTGAAGGCAAACTGCTTTTCTAAACTTGCAAAGCCTCCCACTATATGCAAAATAGTGGGGAAAAACATACTGGATGGACTGGGGCTTCCAACCCTACAAGTGGAAGTATTTTGCACCATTCAAAACTTTCCCAAGGTATGAGGCAGTTTAAATGTGTTCTTTAACATGTTCTTTAATATTCCTGGACCCACTGTGTTTGCTAGCAACTCTTGTCTAAACTGTAGAAAATTAAAGTTTTGAAATTCAGTGTGAAATACACATGTACATATAAACACAGAGCCTATTCATGGGTAGTCATGTAAGCATGAATCATGTAATCAACCATGATGGCTTCATTATGTTTAAGTATCATTTTGATATAGTCATGATATGCTAACATGAAGATGACCCAATATGGAGAAAGAAAATGAAACAAAAACAAGTTTTAAAATTCTGACATTACAAATGTTCTGAATTGTATAAGTCTATAGAGGTTTATAGATTCATATATTTATATATGGATTTATAATACATAGACTGACCTAAATAAAGAAAATGATTCATTTTAATAGTTTTAACAATTTATTTTAATTTACTTTAATGGGTACCTATTTGTTACAAATAACTTTGCTACAGTCTTCGGGAAGAGAATAATTATGATTAAATTTGTGTGTATTCTTGTAGTTATTTATTAGAGAGGTAATGATAGAAAATGAAGTTCAATGCAGAGTTTTTATAAGGGTATTTTAAAGAGGTAATAATTTTAAATGTTGCATGAAATTGGGTTCCACAGTGTTTCAACAGCTATAAAAATATCTCAAAGAAAATTATATATTCTCATTTTCCCCTTGAAATTGGTGAGAAAAAATACCATACACATTAAAAGCCAGATTAATTAAATTGCTTATTTTCTG